TCTGCATTATAAAACTGGTAATGTATAATATAACCTCATTTTAAATTAAATGGTATACCTAGTTATTTATTTTGTTATTGTTGTTGTTGCAAAAGTAATATCTACGTAGAAGTATAATCACAGCTATTATGAATTCTGGACAAAATTGGAAAAAAGTTAACAAACGCAGTGGTAGTTACAAAGACCATGTAAGAAAAAACTCCTCGAAATTACGGCAAATAATCCCGAGAATTCCCTGGGTTCCCAAAAGCCAAAACCTCTCGGGTTGTCTGGCTTCTTCAAAGCATGGTTGCCACGTTGATGTAAAAGTTTTACTGTAGTAATGTTTGTATTGTTTTATTGTTGTTTTTCCAAGTCCTTAGGTTGCCGTTCACTCGTCGGGCATGCATAAAATGCATTGCGTGCATGAATCCATGACAACCTGATCATGTTTGTTAGTTTAAATACTAATCAAATGAGATTTGCCAACATCCATTTGTCACAAATCTCAATATGTCAAAAATAGTTCTATAGTGCCTGGAAATTCTGCGTAATGATAGATATTTATCTTATACCGTTTTATTTTACCACAAAGACTTATTTAAGGGATTCATTTATAATAAAATGGTTGCATTATAATTCGCCATGTTTAAGGCAGAATTTTTGTATGGCCTATGGCCGCCATTATATGAAGCAAAATTAAAAACATCAAAATAAATTGTAAAATGTTTTTTTTGAGAACTATTTTGTGATAAGATTCCCACATACAGTAATAAACTGTTTAATTAAATTAAAAACAAGAATTTTTGAAAATTTTATTTTATTTTATTGTTTAAATTTATACGTAAACCTAAATCGAAATTAAAGCGCTTTAATTTTTTGCCAAATACATACCTAATCTACCAGTAAAATTTTCGGCGCAACAAAAATTTTCCCTACTTTTCAAACCCTATTAATGATTTTTTATATTACATATTTGTTGTACCTTTTGGCTCTACCCGCCATTTTCACCGTCGAGTAAAGTCTCCTTTTTAACAATCCACATCCTCTAGATTCATTTTACGACACGCTTAAAATATAATTTGCTCCTAATATTCATCGGTAAAAAATAAAATACTCTTTTACCTCGCTAAATGATCAAATGTTTTTATTGTTCTGTTTCTTAGATGTGACCACGTAATACACAATAAAACTAGTTTTATATAGATATATAACGCTGTGTAAAATAGTTGCATAAGAGTTGTATACCCTTTTTATAGAACTTCTATACTACTAAACGGTTGTATAAAAATGGGCCTTTTTTGGTTGTAAAGCTATCATATTACGGTCTTATAGCACGTTATATGAATTGAGGTATCCTATAAAAATGATCACATAGCTGTTTATACAGCCTTTATAAAATAAAATTTGCTACTTGGGCGGTATACAGATAACATCACGTATCGGGCTTTTCAGTCACAGAAAAGCTCATGAAAGAAAACGCCTTGCGTGACCATCTTCTGATGCGTGTCAAATACTCGTCAGCGAGTAATGGCAGTATGTATGTATGTATGTATGTATGTTATAGGTGCTTTTAATGCCTCGTGGGTACCATGCTGTAATTTTTCTGGTCCATCTGTTGCCCGTCCTTCTTGCCAGGTGTCCTGCCCATTACATCTTGAGGGATTTGACTCTGGATGTTATCTATTACCTGGGAGCGTTGTGCGACCTGCAGTTTCCTTATGATGTCCGTTTTAAGTGTCCACACACATTGGTCGAATGTTTTCTTAGATAGTTTCTTAGATAAAGTGGCATTCTAGATTTAAATATGGTTGAGTTTCTCCCATAAGTACTCCATGCTAACTTAATTCTTCTGTTGATCCCGAGCTGTGTATTGGTTGTCCCAAATATATTCTATTATTTCCAGCGTTGTGTTATTTATTGGAATGCCCATATTATTATGCATTTATTATTAGTACATATTAGCATATAATAATGTCTCATCATAAAATATTTATTTAGAAATTAAGTTACCTGCGCTGTTGACAATCAAACAGAAATTTAAGCCGGCTGATTTAGCCCTTTGTGCAGCTATTAAACGTGCGTGAACATAAATTTCAATCTGGTTTAAAATGTTTTGGCGGTGCTTTCTATCGTGTGGAACAATTCACACAAAATTGCGGGCGGTATCTACGCGAATCCGTATATCCGGCATCGAAAACATAACGGATCTAATAAAATCCGACGTGTATAGGCAAAGTAATTGCAAAGCTCCACGCTCCGACGCCAATAACGATTTTTTTCTGAACTTTCGTCGAGTTTTCAGAAAATTATCCTAATAGGATTCCCTCCTACCTTGAATAATCGATTCCTTCTCAATTTCTGGGAAATATTTACTAAGGAGTATGTATTTAACATAGGAGACACCTGTCAACATATATCAAATGTCAATATTAACTGTCATCTTTAGTTAACGCGAAATTTTTAGATCGCTTCGTTTAAAGCTGTACTTGAATAAAACTAAACAAAAAATTAAACTCTTTTTCTGGAATATGCGAATTTGATGTATCCAATAAAATGATAGCCAAAATCCATTTTCGTCCTACGTAATAAATGGTCCTGAAATATATTTTCGTAGTGCTTCTGCTTCAGTAACAGATAATAATTCTCCGATTTTCAATGCTAATTTTAGAATGGCCACCTGTCAACGTTTCAAAGATTCAGTTTTGCGCTTGTACTGCAAACAACCACCATTAATGGCATAGTTAAAATTGAATGTCTCAGAATTTGGGTTAAATAGAATTTAAGATGAAATTAGAATATTATTTCACATTAATGCATTCCAAAGTCTTTTTAGTGTTAGACATTTTGACATAATTTTTTGTTGTTTTTTTTAATTGTATCTTTTTTGCCTGATCTCTAGATTAAAAATATTTCTAATATGGTGACACTTCCAGAAATACCGGAAGTTGTCAGCACCTTTCTTATTTTAAATGGATACTTCCATTTTTTCTTATATGTTTTTAAATTCTTTTTCGATACCGTTTGATAGAGAGTTATCCAGTGGTCTAAAAGGAATTTTTAAGAATGTCAATTATAAACTTGTGTATAATGCTAATAATAAATTACAACAATTATTAGGCAATCCAAAAGATAAAACACCTCCACTGGAAAGGTCGGGTATTTATGAAATTTCTTGTAAAGATTGTAATCAGAAATATGTTGGGCAAACTAGAAGATCAATATTAACTAGATTTAAAGAACATTAGCTCAGATAAGATATGGTAGACCGGATAAATCTTGCGTTGCCGAACATATTGTTGATAAAGAACATTGTATAGATCTTAATAATTTAAAATTAATTAAACAAGTCTCAAATTACAAGCAATTAGATGCATATGAAAGCATCAGAATTAATAAATGTAAAGATAGTATGAACAGAGTCAACGGTCCAATTCCTTCAAGTTCTTTGTTCCTACTACTCTAGTGGCGGAAATTTAACTGTTACGCTCAGTTGGCTCTGACTCGGTTTGGCTAGATTTTGCCACGCCCACTCGGTGCCCACTGGGCGAGTATATAAACGCTCAACTTGTAGATTGTACTTTAGTTTATAATCATCTGCTGATGATGCTAACATGGTTAGCGAAACGCGCGTCCAGTGTAAAATAAAAGTGTTTTGGTGTATTGTGGTGATTTAGTGTTTTTATTTTGCTTTAAATTCTCTCTAAAATTTCATGAATTTTGATATGAAACACTCTACAGGGTGTTTCAAAAAACATGTTGATATAAAAAATAAGATTATTTTTTATATCTACCTATGTCCGATTCTGCTTTGTTTCATAGTTACAGGGGATTAAAAGCTTCATTTTTTTTCGATTTATTATAATTTTCTTCCAAGTGCTTTTTTGGCAATTCGAATGAAATTTTGAGGACAAAAGCTATTATAAGTGCCACATATTTTAATGCTAAAAATGTGACGACATATCCACCAGGGCCGTGGATATAGGTTATTACTGGAATATTTTTCTAAAAAAAAACATGTACGCCACTGACTTTTTTCATCTTGTTAACAAAATTGTGTAGGCCGCTTAATGCCAATTAAAAGTTGTATTTTAAATTTTATACCTACTTGATACCTTTCAAGTAGCAAATTTCAATAAATAATAGTAGTTTTTAAGATAATTACAAAGACCTACTTTTTAAAAGTTTTAAAATTTTTTTCATTTTGTTTTTGGATGAGCAATGAGTACCTATTTAACATTTAATGATATTAAAAACATTTAAAGGTTGCTATTAGACTTGGATTAAAGCAAATTAATAAAACTGCGTTCATCTCATCAAGGAGATCGAAATCTGTCTTAAACAGTCTACTCAATTTTGCTAACAGGAGAAAAAAGGTCAATGGTGTACATGTTTTATTTTAGAAAAATATTTCGGTTATAACTCATATGCACGTCACTGATGAACATGTCGACAGGTTTTTAGCATTAAAATATGCGGCACTTACAGTAGCTTCTACCTTCAAAATTTCATTTGAATCGCTAAAAGTACTTGGAAGAAAATTATAATCAATTGAAAAAAAAATGAAAACTTAACCCCCTGTAACTACAAACAAAAAAGCAGAATCGGACCTATGTTGATATAAAATATAAATCTTATTTTTACGTGAAACACCCTGTATATTTGCCTCTCTATCAGTTTAGCTGATCACTAAAAATGATGGTTAGTTATGTAACTTTTTTTGACAGACAGATTTTAGGACTAAAAATTTTTAATATTTTTATCCTCAAAAACGGTTCAATTTGTAAGATTGCTATGGTTTAAATATGTTTGGTGTTCAGTGAGTAAAATATAGGTAGCTTCTTATAAATATTTATGAGGGGAATCTTGCGATATGCTGAATACAATATCTTTTAATTTCGTAATGGATTACACCTAATACAACTGGGCAAAAATTTATTACAAATTTATGCACGAGCGTTTGGCATTTGGCTCTATTCAAATAAGGCCTCTATTTTAGTAGGAAAAATGTATTTTCTTACCTCGAAACTAATTTTACCGGACTGTTTCTGTTTCATTGTGTTGAAAACATAGTGTGCGTAATTTGTTGCATCTGAAAACGTCAATAACGTCATTAAAATGGAGTTACGATAAGCCAAATTAATAAAAAATATACGTATTTTTGGTATTCACAAAATCTAAAAAAAATGATTATTCTCTAATTTTGTCCTATACCGGGTGCGTCTCAAAAGTAGCTCACCCCTATAACTTTTTTATTTTTTCAGAGAAAACAACGAGTAACTTACTGTTTCACCGGAAATGACTACAACTTTTGATTTTTAAATGATACCCTTGGTATTTTTTTACTTCATTTGATAGAAAATGAAAAATTAGCTTTTTAAATTTTAATTTAGAGTGCAGTGGCCATAAATGTAACGACATTTTAGCTCGAAATACCAAGAGTGTGGTACCAAATTATTCGTAAAAAATATTTTTCCAAATATGCTAATGAGTCACCCTCGTTCCATTTGAAAAAATTGATATATGATTAAAAATACGATTTGGGCATCTTTTAACCGGCCAGGACAAGACACGAAAAACACTAGACGATCAAATCTATTTTTCCATGGCACTCTAGATTGATATTTAAAATACATTTTATAAGCGAGAATGTCAAAAGTTGACATATGATATGTCATTATATTCAGAGAGTCATTTTTATCGAATAAAGTAAAAAAATTCGCCATTTAAGTGCCATTTAAAAAACCGAAGTTGTAGTAATTTCCGGTGAAACAGGAGGTGACCGAAAACAATTGAATACGTCAATCATTCCTAATTTATGTCATATACTAACATACCAAATCTTAAAATGTTATAGGGGTGAGCCACTTTTGAGACGCACCCGGTATATTCATGGAGGAACTGTTTGTAATCCATTTTGAGGCATGTGTTCTTCATGATTTATAGAAAATATGCCGAGATCAATATTTTAGCAGCTGATGAAATATAAAGCGATAAAAATGCAAAGGACGTTGCTCGAATGCGATAGAAAATTTTGAGAGCAATTTATAAAGTCAAGATACAAAATATAGACCTATTGAAAGTATGGTCTCTGGCAATGGGGCATGTGATAAAATTCTAAATGCGTCTGCTTTCCCATTAAATCACTTCTTAAAAGGAATAATCTTTTCAACGCTTATGTACACTTTATTTTAAACTTACCTCCTAAAGGAAAAAACTGAGAAAATATGTGCTTAAACGATTCTTCGTCTACCATTCCTGTAGGACATTCCTGAAATTATAAGAAAATACGTTAAAATAATGCATAATTGTTCAGGTTTACACAAAAAAATATCTTCGTTTTAAAAATAGAATTATTTTTAAAATTAAGAAGTCTGAAGGGCGAACTAAGATGCCCTAATTTTTTATTTCACTGTTTTAATATCTTAGTAAAAAATTACTGAATATAAGAAACCATAACAACATCTATTATAAACCATTTCAAGAGAGAAATTTATTGTGGAAGAAATTTTGTTAAAATCCAAGCAGAAAAATAAATGATAAATATCATGGATTTTACGGATCTTCTAGCTAAGCGATGTTATGCTGAGTTAAAACCTAGGCTTCTTTATTCATTTTTCAAAACGATTTAAAAGGCTTTGGAAAAGGAAAAGGTAACTCGGTGGACAATAAAAACTTTAGGGTTTTAATGGATAAAGTGACCTTTCCCATTTATAACATTAACATTAACTAATTACGGTGGTAAACAAATAATGGAATATGCTATATTAGTTTTCTATAAAATAATAAAAGTCTTTTAGTACTACCCTGCTATCAGTAATCAATTAATGGAATTTAGAATGACATTATTTATTGTATTTTTGTCTATTTTTATAATACAAGATTTTTCATACATAAGACCACATATTTTTCAGCTTTTGCCCGAAAAATTAAAGCACAAAAGCTTTATTTTTTTTTAATTATTGTCATTTTTGATTGACAAAAAGGTTAATATGTAGCTCGTTGTAGTGTGATATTTATAGTAACCGTTTTTAATTAAAATTTGAAGCTTTTATAAAATATAAATCATAGGGGGCATTTACTTTTCATTACAGGTTCAAAAATCGATCGATTCCTGAACATAAAGTGTACATTTAGGATGCAGGAATTAAAAAAGGGGTAAATGATATTAAAAAAAATGTTACTTTAACTCGCAAGTAATATTCTTGTCCAAAGGTTATAAGGTGGTGAGATAAAGGTAGCCACATACATGGGTTTACACAAACGTTTGTTGTAATTGATTAAGTTGTATTTGAAAATAGGAAATTTTATAAGTTTTAAAGAAAGTTTGATGTTACTGTTTCTAACTGTATGGTCAACTTTTCGAACCTTGGCACACTGAGATTGTTCTAATATTTTTATGAAAGTTTAATCTCCAAACCTATGGGAATGCACTTGATGAATAGTTCTTACATTGTTTTTGGCTCTGTTACAACAAATTTTACAAGTTTGTAATACCAACATATTGTTGCCGGGTATAACAAAAATATATTTTTCTATTTCCCCTCTTAGATCATAACTAGCCATGACCAGTGATATTATAAAAGTCTTCTTTTTCTAAGTAGGGTAGGCTATGTGAGCGATGGTGCACACGGTCTCACTCTGCAAAATTAGATGCGACGTTTCGTTTACATCTTCCTCAGGGTGGGACTGAGGATTTGATACTGAAGAAAAATGTGGGTCGATTTCGGCATAATTGACGACGAGCTACAGGATGACGCCCTCGAAGTTTTGAACCGATGCCTAAATGGAAGAAATCATCAGGATTTTTCTCTTAATTGTGGGTCGATTGGAATCAAACTCGGCACGTGGATAGAGGTACCCGAATGGAGTCCTCAGACGGACAGACGGTCATTTTAATACAAATTTTGTGTAAGTGGATCAAAATTTTTATTAATTTTCAATTTATTACTTTTTCAACATTTCAAATTACACTTTTTCAAACATGTCCTTCAAATCCTTCAATTTAATAGCTGTTAGTAAGAAGATTCACTATACATAGTGCACACTTGATTTAGTGTATGTTGATTTAATTATTTCTTATAGATGAACATGAATTTAAAAGTATAATAGTATAATTATATTATGAGCATTTTTCATAATAAGGACCAAATATCGCCATATAAATTCAAAAAATTGAACCTTAGGGGAAAATTTGTGCCTGCTTGTAGTGTATGGTGCCCTTTAAGCGCCTTGTACCTATCTACCATCTTTCATTTCTCAAGCTGTAAATTTTGAGGTAGAATTAATTTTGGCCCTTTATCAAATCTCTAATATAAATCTTCCAGGTCGAAGTTGAAAAGAAAAAAATACCATTGTGCCTCGAGTATTTTTATATTAAATTCAATAGAATTTTCATCGCGATATTCTTAAAATATTTCCGCAGTTTCGGGGCTCATGGAGGATCAAAAACTCCACATAGTTCGATCTGTTTGTGGGAAATAGATGTATGGAGAAGTAAAGAAGGTAAAAATAACGCGCATGCGTCCGTCAGTTGTGACATTTAACACCCTTTCGGTGGGGTTTGAATAATTTTCGAAAAATATCGATAGAATTACCTGTTTGAATCCCCGATACATAAGCTGGATTTCCTTTTTCGTGAATTTTGTTTTCGAAGCCAACTTGTGCAATTCCTCCGGTCTATATCTTGCTATGTGGATTGTAAATTCGTCGGATTCGTCATCTGCAAATGGAGAAACTTTGTCAACTACCTGGTTTATACATCAAAAATTTTATCTTTCTTAGTTTGTTGTACCTACAGTGGGTCCCATATAACAGATAAGTACCATCATATCTCTGATAACAAAGGTTGTTAAGATATACAGGGGTCCATCGTTTTACGTTGCATTTTTATACGCGTTTGCCTTTTTGAAACCAGTGACTTATTTTACGTGATTTACTTATACGTGGTTTATTAATTCTATAATAGATATGAAAGATTTGTATGTATGTATACACTATCGAAAGATGCGTACAATTTATCTTAGATAGCAACAATTGGAAAGAGGAAATAGCCATCTTATCTGATAGTCAAGCAGCACTAAAAGCGATCAACTCAGTAACCATCAATTCGAAGTTGGTCAAAGAATACCTAGAGAAGCTGAATAAATTAGGCAAAGAAAATAAAGACTTCCTACTCTTGGTGCGTACTCACCAAGAGATGGGAAGCAATGAAAAAGCAAACGATCTAGCTAGAAAAGGAGCCAACACTCTACTCACTGGACCAGAACCGTATTGCTTTCCAAGTGGAAACCTGGAAAAGGAATCTTCCAACGGTCTAAGACACTTGAAAAAATTTCTCATAACTTACAACTGAGAAAAATCAAAGATTTTCCTTGATTTAAGTAAGATTTTCACGGGGTTTTTAACAGGACACTGTCTCCTCAACGAACACCTCAGTAGATTGAAGCTAAAAAACGACGAAAATACAGATTCTTTGGGGAAAATGGGGAAACACTAGAACACCTCATAGTGTCATATCTCTTCTGGTGTACGAGATCTGTGTGGTGCACTTTTTTTATATGGGCATCCATGTATATAAAATGGTATTAAATTATTAGCATTCATAACACAAAAATAAACATTGTTATTCCGGAAAATGGATACGTATTTCGTTGTTTGTAAATTTTCAAATTCCAACGGGAAATATTTAAACGAATTAAATATTTAAACAAAATTATTTAAATAATATACGTAATTTTAATTTGTAATATTTACATAGCTGATAAATGATTTAAAAAATAGCTTTTTTAATCTAAAAATAAACACATAAAAGTTATAGATGGTTATTAATTTATTAGTTTCCTCGAACTTTTCGATAAAATGAACAAAGTGCTCAAGTGTTTTTGGATTCTTCCTGATAAAAGGAAACTTTCTCAAAACCTCCATAATTACGGAAAATAATCGCAAGCTCATCTTGCTAATTATTTCTCATTAATAATAAAATCCTTATCTAACACAATTTCCTTCATATCTACTTACTACCCGAACTAAAATTTGAATACTATACTAAAAACTTTTTTAATGACTGCTAGTAGAATATCTATAGTAAACTTTTTTTTAATAAGTTTTATATCGTTTAATAAGTATGAGACCCTAGGAAGGATTAAATTTTTCCTCCAAACGAGAAGTATCCCTTTTGCAACTGTTAAATTTTTATTTGGCGATAAAAGTTTTATCAAGTACGTGACTATATCTGAACAGGAAAGGCGGCTAACAGTATTGGTTTGCGTTATATCTTATTTTTCGATTATAAAAATTGCATGCTGAGGGTGAAATGTTTTTCTGGCTATTTTATGTAAAATCTAATTTAATTTTAGTTCAATACAAACATAATACTACCCTCGGCCTATATTAATATAGATAGACAAATCTTACTTTATAACATCCAAGTACCCAAATTATACAAACCAAATGCAAAGAGAAAAAAAAATGATTTATTCGTATATATATATATTTTATTTTACTCAAAAATTTAGAGTTTATTAGCTAAAAAATCATATATCTCAGTTTTGGTATTTTAAAATATAATTTGAAAATATCACAGCTGTTATATAATTTTTTTTTACATATTCTAGGGTTGTATTAAGTCGATAAATCAAGTTTAACAATAAGAATAGTGTATTGTGTTCAAACTTGGGAATGCTACAAGAAAATTATCAGCTGCAGCCTAACAAAAACTGCCCTAATGACACTTACTTATAGGTATGTATAGTATTATCGACAACAAGAAACATCATACAAGTACTTATCGTTGTTATATTTTATCTAAACCTTTAGTTATTGCGTGGTACCGAGATCGGAAAAAAGGAAATTGAATGGGTAAACTTTTTTTTAGCTGAATCCTCTTATAAAAAGAAACAATAAAACATTCAGTATATAGAAGCCCCCTCAAACACAAAATCAGAAAAATTTCTGTGCGGAAACGCTGTTTGTGTCATTCACATTTTTCCGACTTTAGAATAGCTGAAACCAGTTACATGCAAACATGTTTCTATTTTACAATATTTGATTAATAAATGAAAATGGTCCACCCAGGAAGAAATTTTTTGCATGTCTATGTTTAGAAAAATTTCTAGAATGAAAAACAATAACTCGTTTTCATTTAAAAACTGAAAATTATGCATTTCCGCAGAAAAATTTTCGTGACTTGGAAAGGCTTCCAAATACTAAATAAACAAATATTTCTTGCATAAAGTAGTCCTGATTTCATAAATTCTTAAGTTGAAAAACTAAAAATGATGCATTTCCGCAGATAAATGTTTGTGACGTACACACTTTTCAAAAAGGCTTCCGCAAATATTAAATAAACGAATATTTCTTACATACTGATTTCAGCTAAACGAAAGTTGAGCCAATTGAATTCCTGAAAAACTAAATTAAAATGTCTTTTTATGATATGCCTAATTACATTTAAAATAAAATTATACAACTTAAGAAAATTAGATGTGTTTCTTGTACGTATCGGCGTTTTTGCAGCTGGGAAATATTTACTTGTAATAAAAGTTTTTATTGGTCATACGACCACATCCAGAGATGAAAACAGCCTTTTTTGTGCTGGTTCTGTAGCCCGTCTTGTCCTCTTTATATAAATTATTAACGGATACAACATAGACACTTAGACAAAAAGGTCCATTTTATATCTGAACCCTGCGTTAAACGATATAGCAAGAAGCGAGTATTTTTAGGTCAGACTTTTCGTTTAATAGATTTTTGGAGGGTAAATAACCCACAGCATTTCTGACATAATAAAAATATACTACAATAATTACACAATAATAATGTATCTTGTATAGTAAAGGATAGATTGACCATACACAGGGTGGTCCGAACTGTATTCGGTAAAGTTTGGCAGTATATTCTGCAGTAGTTCAGTCATTGGGGATCAAAAAAGGGGCTTGCTTGGAAAAAAGTCCGGAAGTTTTGAAACTTTGCAGGTTTGTAGGTTTTGGGGTCCCTAACTAAAATCCATAAAATGCACATTTCCAGACTTGCCGCCGGCGCCGCCATCTTGGCAAGATGGCGCCAAAAATCGGTATTTTGTGAATATCTCGAAAACTATGCGTTTTTCGCGAAAATTTGAGGAGAGAAAAATTAAAGAGAGTAAAATTTCCTATAAAAAAGTTTTATGAAAATTTTCGCTAAAGTCAACCGTTTAGGCACAAAATCCCTGGAAATTTTACAATTTTGCGTAAATTATGATATATTATGAATAGTCGATTTTCCGAAATCAAATGTCGATTAGGGTTCATTAAAACTAGTTTTAGTTTAGTTTCTGCAATTTTTTCATGAAACAGTGGCGTATCATTAATTCGCTCATTAATTTATGAATAATTAATTGTCGTGCTAGACAGCATTCATTGCGAACTTACCACCAGGTTCAGCATTGGTCTGGTTGTACCAAAGATTCCGAAGAATGGGATTGGAGAAAACAAAAGCAGGCATTACTCCAGTCACAACGTTGAAAGATTCAGCTCCAAAATCCCTGTTGGCATTTTTATCTTGTAAATGCAAAACCAACAACTATGGTAAAGCCTGCGGATGCAGAAAAGCAGGATTAAAATGTTCAATGATTTGTGCATACTGCAATGGGAAATCCTGTGACAACGTCACTGAAGTGTCACTTGACGAATCCGATGAAGAGGAGTTGGACTTGCCTGTAGATATCCCTCTGGCGGCTGAAGATGAAGAGTTGGACGTATTGAGAGACCACCCTGATGAGCCCAGCACAGCAGACACGATCGACTTTGACATCAATGAGCCAGATCCGTCGGTCTTGTGAAGATAAGTTAAAGTTTTTAATTTATCTAGTGGAGTAGGCCTCCGGGGGAGACCACGTTAAAATAAACGCGCCATATACTTTACCTCTTGGGTGGTGTGGAAACAAGTACACATTTTCAATAATTAAAATTAATTATTCATAAATTAATGAGCGAATTAATGATACGCCACTGTTTTATGACAAAATTGAAGAAACTAAACTAAAACTAGTTTTAGTGAACTCTAATCGACATTTTATTTCGGACTATACATAATATACCATATTTTATGCAAAATTGTAAAATTTCCAGGGATTTTGTGCTTAAACAGTTGACTTTAGCGAAAATTTTCATAAAACCTTTTTTATAGGAAATTTTATTCTCTTTAATTTTGCTCTCTTCAAATTTTCGCGAAAAACGCATAGTTTTCGAGATATTATCAAAATACCGATTTTGGGCGCCATCTTGGCAAAATGGCGGCGCCGGCGGCAAGTCTGGAAAGGAGCATTTTATGAATTTTAGTTAGGGACCCCAAAACCTATAAACCTGCAAAGTAGCAAAACTTCCGGAATTTTTTCCAAGCAAAAATCCCCAATGACTGAACTACAGCTAAAAACCTAAAACTAAGCACCTATGTCTTAAAATGCTTCGTCTCCGAGATACAGGGTATGGAAGTTTCATTTTTATTTCGATCTTTTCCAAGTAATTTCTGAGCTAACGCCGATATTTGAATGAAAATGTGTTTTTTTAACATGAGAAATTTGATTTCGATGTCAGTATGCTCCTACAAGTACTCATACACCAATTTTCATCCACTCAGACACCAATTTTCATCCAAATATCGACCTTAGTTCAGAAATTATTTCGAAAAACACGAAATAAAAATGAAACTTCTACACCCTGTATCTCTGAAACGAAGCATTTT